TATATATATATCATAATTTAAAAAAAATGATTATTATATCCTTTAAAAAATCATTAATTTGCATAAATATTTCAAACCATTACTAGAAATTTATTTCTAAGAGATTTTGTTTTTCTCATTTCCTTAAATAGAGAAATGTAAAGATAGAAAGGGAGAAAAAAAAATATAGATCTAGAGGGAGAAAGTCCATTTCGAAGGCCGTACAACCAATTTTGCCCGTCATGCATGTTTGAAAAATTGTATGGCACTAGGCACGCTACTACCAACCTACTCTGATTTTAATTTTTTTTTTTTTTTTTTTTTTTTTAAATTTTTTTATTTTTATTTGCTAAACTTTTCAACTCAGATCTATAAAGATTTATAAACATTTCACAGCACAGCTTATTACATATTATAAATCAGACCATATTGAACATATCGACACAAAAAATATTTATTTTTCGATGGATATTTTGTGCCATGCAGTATTTTATTTATTTTAGCACCAAATATTATTTATTTTAGTTTAGCAAGTTGCGCTTGTCGATTTGTGTAGATTTATTTTTCTCGCAAATTACATTATTACTTATGTTTCCTAGTACTTACCACTTTTTCGAGGATGTTGTGAAAATTGATATTTTAAAAGTGTTAGCATTTATTTATTTATTTTTTTTGTATTTTAAATATGTGCCAAAAATGATAAAAATGTGGGGGTTTTAGGTGGTTGTATTTTATGTGAATCAAGTGAAGCTATAAGGTGTTTTGCATTTATGTAATTATCCTTTGAGTGTTTGATACGTTTGAATAGATGTGAACAAGTGGAGGTATAACTAAAAGTGGAGTTCTAAGAGGTATAGAGGAAATATGAATAAGTTGAGGTATAAGTGGAAGTGGAGGTATAAGGAGACGAAGGGAAAATATTAAGATAATTTAAATAAGGAAATGAATTTTTATTTTCATGTTATTTTCTTGTACTTATAATATCATATTATTTATATTATTACTTGGCACATGTCTACTGCAGTTACAATTTCTTGTACTGGCACTGTGATAGATACTACACATGATATTAGTCATGTTAAATTTATTTACATCGAATACATGTTAGATTTTTTTTAATATTGAGAACTGCAGTAGATTTTGAGTAGTCTGTTGAGTTGTGTTTGATCACTTCTGCTTTACTCACATGTATTGTTTCAGGGAAGGGTAAGACTCAAGTTGAGTTGAGACTTTTGTGTTATTGGTGAGAGTCTGATTTTATATATGTTAATACTTTTTTTTTTTATATATTTTTGACAGTCACGGTAATGTTTATATTTTGATGATAAATCATGATTCTTATATATGTTTCCTTTTGTTGTGAAGTGATATGATCTCAATGAAATTTTGGTATTTTTATTTTATATATTTGATGATATTAGTGGTTGTGTATGAAACTTGAAGAAAATTAGATAAATAAGATTCATTCCAAATAGATCTTAGTTAATAATTTATTTGTTATGACCTTAACACGAGATGACTCACCTCGATATGACAGGTTTCATCGAGTTGGGTTGTGATACAAGTGACCGCCAATGACATTACGCATAACGCCTCCTTCTTTTCACCTGAAAAACCAAAAAATCAGCCAGTCGACACTACTAACCGGTCAGCCCAAAGGTTAAGTTTGTCGAATACTGACTTGAAAAAAAACGTTCATGGATTTGCCAGTGTCAGTGAGCATAATTCTGACCTGAAAATTGTTATTTATTTTTGTAACGACTATAACTTTGTCGTGAGGGTTTCTCCGTTGGGGAAGATCGTCATCTGTGAATGTGATGGGAGGACAACCTCTCCTCTGCATGGACGTGAGGTTGCACAATTCGCCCGTCTTGGTCCTCTTCTAAGAGCTTCATCCGCGGGGG